AAAAATTAGGGGAGAAAAAGTTTTCCGGGGTTAGAACCCCCTTTTTTAAGGTGGCTTATTGAATTTAAATGAGGGGGTTTTTCCCCCACGAAAGCTTATGCTCCCAGTACTTCTGTTAGTCTCAAAGGTGCCACAGGACCCTCTGTTGCTTTTTACAAAGAAGGTGTCAGTATCATTATCCCCATTTTACAGATGGAGAAACTGAGATGCGCAGAGGGGAAGTGACTTGCCCAAGGACACCCAGCAGGCCAATGCCAGAGCTGGGAACAGAACCCAGGTCCCGGAGTGGCTCTGTCTACTAGGCAGCACTGTTTAATCCAAGTGTCTCATGCTTCCTTGATGAGTGATTTTTTTCCCCACTGAATACAGATGTTTCTTTCAGTCCTGTGTGTATGTACGATTGGCTGCTGCTTAGCCATGCTTCAGAGAGCCTGCACCACATCACTCGAAGAGCTAATACTGCCTGGGAGTTCCCACTGGAAAAAGAGTTCTAAAGCAGCAGCACAAATGTTTCTATTAAGCCCCATAAAGGAATTTGTATTGAGTGAGGCCTTTGTTTATATTGAAGTTGGTTGCTGGCATACTTCCTTCGGCACTTGTGTGCTTAGCCAGCGTGTTTATGCGGGAGAGGTGGTTCTTGTAGGGCTGATGAATGCCATCTGTCTGGAGGTATGTATGTGTCTGTCTGATCTAACTTTATAATCTCATATTTTTAAGGCGTCTGTTACGTTGGTATCTCCGCACCAGACATAGTTATTTAAATCGACCAAAATAACTAATAGTAGGTAGCTCTCTAATCTAGCAGAAAAAGACATTACAAGGTCCAATGGTTGGATGCTGAAGCGGGACAAATACAGAGTAGAAAAAAGGTGCACATTATTAAAAGGGTAATTAACTTACCCTAGGGATATGATAGAGCAGGGGTCGGCAACGTTCGGCACACAGCTCGCCAGGGTAAGCACCCTGGCGGGCCGGGCCAGTTTTATTTACCTGCTGACGCGGCAGGTTCGCCGACCCGGGCCAATGGGGGCGGCGAGAAGCGGCGCGGGCGAGCGATGCGCTGGGCGCGTGCTGAACATTGCCGACCCCTGTGATAGAGTCTCCTTTACTTAAAGTCTTTAAATAAAGACTGAGTATCTTATGCAGGTTAGACTAGATGATTGCAATGGTCCCTTCTGGCCTTAAAATCAATGAATTCCCAATTGTTACTCTTTTCTCTGCCTTCCCATAACGCCACTCTTTTTTAATGGGTAAAAAAATCATAACTGGGGAAAGACATTAGTGTAAAAAAAAAAGTGAGCCTTGCATTTTAGTCTGCGCACAGTCGAGCTTCGGCAAGGAGTCTCACAGAAGAGAACTCCCATGCACTGAACTCCCATGCACTGCCCCTGGATTGCTAGGTGATCCTGGTTCTCTCCTGATCTGATCTGCTATGTTGATCTCCTTGTGATCGCTCCTTCTCTTGCAGATCTCTGTTCATTTTGCATGTATAAATTAGATCCATCAAGAGAATGTGGAAAGTAGGAGGAGGGACAAGACCTCAGCTCCAAAGGCAGATTAACTCCCCAGTCCTGGCTGTGAAATTATCTGAGGAAAAAAGGTTGATGCTGTCATGCTCGAATGAGGGATGGGAGAATCCATTTAGCTGGACAAAGGCCTGGGTTGTTTAATATTCTATCACACGAACGTAACTGAAACCCCTTTCTGAGGTCCATGACACTTCACAAAAGTGTTATCATCCTGTCTGCTTACCTATGGATCGGGACTGGAAGTGGGCATGTTACCACACTGTGGTGTCTGTCTGTCTGTCACCATCGTATCTAAGTGCTTCACAGTGTTTAATGTGTCCTCACAACACCCCTGTGAGGAAGGGCCGTGCTATTATC